GCACTTTAGCATAATGATATTTGATGTAAATAAATGCGGACCATGATCCTCTGTGTCTGTTAATGCAGAGAGTTTCTTTACCTGTACGATCCGGAGCGATGGGCATCGGCGTGTGTGGAGCCTCAACGTGTCGTGATCTGGAATATTGTTCTTTTCTCCGTCCTCATGGCAGCGAGTGGCCTTGAGCTCGTCTTATGCCTTCTCCATCTCCTCACCGCCATACTGGAGCTCATGTTTGGACGGGCCTTCTGCAAGAATAAGGTACAGATGCTTACAAAGAGCCTTCCCTTGTAGTGTACTTCAAATCTTCTTTTTTTATATACTTAACAAAAACTGTAATATAATATTAATGATATAAAAGGCCACTTAAGTGTATTAAAGAGTTCACTTTCATGAATCTTAGCACACTAAAGGACACTTTAGTCCACTTTGTAACAATGTCAATGTAGCCTTCACTTTATAGCCCTTAATCCTGTAATTGTGGACAAATGTGGGCACAGAGGACTCCTAATTTTTATTTATTATAAATGTTATATCACTGTCTTTGATAAAGTTTTGTCTGTCCATTTATGGTGTTTTTTTTATGTATTTTGGGGGTATTTTTGAATTTATTTACTTCAAAAAGTACCATATTTTCTATGTAAATTATGCTTATTTTATGTTTTATTTATTTATTTTTTTTAAACTACATTAAAATATCATTCCAATAAGTTCTTAGAGCTAAAACCTAAAGATGAAGTGACTTTGCTGTCACCTGGTGTCTTATTTTGCTCTAAATTACAGTTTTTCCCATTCATTTTTCTATGGGTGCCCATTTTTGACCCAAATACAAGATTAAAGAGTTAACCCACTTAACATTGTAGAATTGAGTCAAAAACTGTGTGTGTTCAGGAGGCAAACTTAGGAAAAGTAGCCAAGTCTTGTACCGCTCAGATCAAGGGAAGCATTTTTTAAAAATAAATCAAAACTATTTTGGCCACATTTGTCCAGAATATGGTTTTAGGGTTAAACGTTTTACATTTTAATTCATTGTTTTAATGAAATTTAGTGCTTTAAAGTACACATATTATAATGCGTTGTCTAACAGTACTTGATTACTTTTAAAGTTATTTTTTTCTAATATACTAGACATCATTGATACAAATGTGCAAGTACAATATTGTTTTTTAATGCATGTCATAGAAGTTTCGATTTTTTTTTAAGTAAATTTTAATTAAAAAAACATTATAGCGAATTTTGCATTTTCTACAGCATTAAAAAATATTAACCACTCTTTGTTCTCTTTTTAGGTTGTTCCTGCTTGAAATTACTTGTTTCTATAATTTTCATGTGCATGTGAGAATGACATTTTTTTTGGAGGTTAAAATGCCATCTATGACTACTTGGCTTATTTTAAACAGAGAAAAAATAGAAATGAGAAGTGGATTAGGAAAGTCAGTTTTCACATGCCTGAATCTTTTACACCATCCATGTGCCTGTTGCTCAGCTGGTTCAGCATAATGCTGGACAAATATAAATAAGCTATTTAAAATATATACGTATATGTGACTAATATAATGTGATATTCTCAGAACGCACTTTAATCTCTATACACTGTAGGAATGTGAGTAATTTAATGTATATATTTGGGAGAAAATACTGAGTTTATATAGTTTTGTTGATACTGAAATGCAATAGATGTTCTATTTATTGATTAAAATCAAATTGATCTAATTGTATGAGCGATTCTGTGTGTAAAAGAATTCATCATTTATTAAATGTATTTTAATAAAAAAATACAAGCAGCACACTTTTGAAGGAAAAAAAAACCACATTAAAAATTCACAAAAAAATCTAAAATGGTAGATTCTGTTCATAATTCATACTGTGACACTGTGTTGCCATAAAACGAAAAACATTCATTAACAGACATCTGACACAACAATGTTAGACTAGAATCATGACCTCAGCATATATAAAGCTGCTTTAGTGGCCACAAGAGGGCCACATATTTCATGTCTATCTTTACATAAATACTATACTGTGGACATGCCAAAATAGTGAAGTGGTTTTCACTGCAGAGACAAATGATGTCCAGCTCCCCCTCTGGATGGAGTTTGACTTTATTAGGTAGGGTTATGTGTAGAGCTAGTGTGTGTATGTGTGTGTGTGTGTGGCTAGACCTTCAAGCTCGACCCATTGAAGCAGTGAGCAGCCTCTAAAATAGTATGTATTGTAGCACATTATTGCTATTTAGGCCACAAATTGTGAAATGAGTGAGTGAATTTAGACACTGAGTCCGCTGTAGCTTTTGCATATTTGTGCTTGCTGTTAATCATTTGAAAATTGGCATAGTGGCAGCTCTAGTAGTATTTATTTTGAACCCTTGTCGTGGGAACTATGTATAAACCTTAATTAAACAATTTAATAACAATTTAAAAAGGAATTTATACCTGTATGATACTATGCTGAAGCCGTATTGGACAAGCGGTTTGGAAAATGCAACATGACATCATGACTTTTGCGTAAACACTTTCGAGTCAGGTGGCGTGTTATCTCTACGCATTTTGAGCTATCCGCGCGTGTATGCGTATATGTCTACGCCATTAACGTCCGCGTCATTCCGCGTCTCTGTAAACGCAGTCAAATCTCCAGTCATAAATGCCATTAACCCCAGTGATGGTTAAGTTTAGGGATGGGGTTGAGGTAAGTCATATCTTTTTTTTACCTAGGATGGTAAGGGAACAGTCATAAATGCCATTAACCCCAGTGACGGTTAGGTTTAGGGACGGGGTTGAGGTAACGTTAAGTCAACGGCGTTCATAAACACGCTGAAAGGCGATTATGCGTCTTGATAGCACGCCAAAAATGGAAATACGAATTGGCGTGTCATACACACGCTACTAATAGGTGGATGAATGATTCAACTGCGGGTGCCATCTTCTGGAGAGACAGGGCCTTTCTCAATCTGTTTTCTTGTCTATACTTGTGTTCAAACATCATCTTTTGTGGCCCAAGTACTGTCCTGTAAAGGGCCACAAAGTCGATCCAAAGACGGCGTTCGATTTGAGGCGAAGGTTTCACACGTGTTTCGTCTTTCCCATGGCAAATTGATTTTTAATTAAATGCAATACATTTAATCTTATGTATTAACTCGTTTCATCTGACTCCATAAAATGAAAAAGGTTTTACAATGATATTTGTTCATCATTTAATATGTTAATGTTTGACTCTTCCTTTTAACGAAAATAAAGTCAAAATCTGTTAGAATAATCAAATATGACATTTTTTTTACATCAGGTAAATCTTTTATTACAATTCCATAATCAATTGAAAGATTATCAATGCAAACCATCTAATGGTCTAGAAAAAATGAACTTTACCCTACATGTGGTTATGTGAGCTGAGACTCGCGATACTCCAAACCTCACGCCACGGGCTGATCTGAATACAGAAAATGCAGCCCTGAACTCGCGTTGCATTTCCTTATATACCTTACCTGATATGTAAATCATCAGGTTACAATGGAAATTTACTGTATTCCCCCAACATACTTACTGGGGTAGAAGTTTGACCATCTATTAAGAACAGTGGAAATTAGCATTTACACCTTTGGAGTGACTAGAGACCACATTTCTTTGTGTGACCGTTATTCCTAAACTTCTTAAAAAACCTTATTACCTTTTGTTTTACTTCTTTGGAAATGAGATGTTATTACCAGTCACCCTGAGACCTTTAAAATGATACTAAACAATTCTTAAGACTATCAAATTCACATTAAAACCATATATATTTCTGTGTGTGTGTGTGTGTGTGTGTGTTCCCATGTTAATTTGCAATCAAGGTCCTTTTGTCTTCAGAGGGAACTGGTCAGATTGATTCCATCAACCAGTTCCAGTTTTCCAGTCTTATGGTGCGTTCACACCGGATGCGAATAGCGCGTCAGGCGCAAATGATTTCAATGTTAAGTCAATGCAAAGACGCGTTACGCGCGTAAAAAATTCCTGCGGCACGAATGAAGGCCAATTTATACTTCTGTGTAGGGTGTGGGACGTGTCTGTACGTATGCTACGCCGTACCTACTGCGCAGGTACGGCGTAGCATACGCACAGACGCGTCCCATACCACGTACCCTTCGCCGTCGCCTGACGCACACCTCCTCAAAAATGTAACTACACGTCGCGACGACGCGGACCGCAAGATCGGTGATTGGTCGGCTTGGTAGCATCGCATTTCCTCCTACACATTTCCGCACGTACCATCTCACGCATTTCCACACGTACCATCTCCTCCGACGTCTTCTCTCATTTCTGCCTTTCAATTTTAGTAATTTCACTAAAATTAACTGTTTTTCCACCTCAATAAGCTCCAACTCCAACATGATCCGCTCTCTTTCAGTCCCCATTGCTTGTAGTAACCTAGCCGTGAGGAATCTAAACACAGTGGAACATTAAAACCCTCCGCCGCTAACTAGCGTTTCGGAGCAGTACTGCAGAGCAACCAAGACCTGAACGCAGAAGTATAAATGCTCACAACGGCGTCGCCTACGTGCGTAGCCAACGCCGTACACTACAGCGTACCCTCGACGCAGAAGTATAAATTGGCCTTAAGGCGTTGGCTACGCACGTAGGCGACGCCGTTGTGAGCATTTATACTTCTGCGTTCAGGTCTTGGTTGCTCTGCAGTACTGCTCCGAAACGCTAGTTGGCGGCGGAGGGTTTTAATGTTCCACTGTGTTTAGATTCCTCGCGGCTAGGTTACTACAAGCAATGGGCTCTATGCACGGCGGTATTTCCGGTGAAGCATTAGGGATGCTCGATAACTTCCGCCGATCATAGAGTCCAATGCAATAGCAAGAATTTATATTGAATTTTATACTCCATGGTTATACTAATGAAACGTTAGTCACAAAAACAGATAAAACAGACACCCCTCGTTGTGTTTATGCTTCTTTTTAAAATTATATTAAATAAACATAACTATATATAAAATTACATCTAAACGTATGTACGTTTCGTTTCAAAGACGGGAGGACAGTTAATATTGAAGACTCTGCCATAATCCCGTTTTCTCCGGTTTTCCTCCGCTTTAATCTACACAACCGGAAATGGACGAGCATCCTTACGTCAAATGCGGAACTTATGCGTGCATATAGCCCATAGCGACTGAAAGAGAGCGGATCGTGTTGGAGTTGGAGCTTATTGAGGTGGAAAAACAGTTCACTTTAGTGAAAATACTAAAACTGAAAGGCAGAAACGAGAGAAGACGTCGGAGGAGATGGTACGTGTGGAAATGCGTAGGAGGAAATGCAATGCTACCAAGCCGACCAATCACCGATCTTGCGGTCCGCGTCGTCGCGACGTGTAGTTACATTTTTGAGGAGGTGCGCGTCAGGCGACGGTGAAGGGTACGCGGCATGGGACGCGTCTGTGCGTATGCTACGCCGTACCTACTGCGCGCACCCTACGCAGAAGTATAAATTGGCCTGTACACTACGGCGTGCCCTCGACGCAGAAGTATAAATTGGTCTTTAGGCGTGGAGTGCGACGCGGAAGACGCGAATACACCTCGTTCGCGCGAATGGCACGAATTGAGCGTCTGGCGCGTTAAGTGCTTTACGCGTGAATGATTTAGTTAGTGCCATTTGTGCATTCGCGCCTTTGACGGGAATTAGCGTCTACTGCACGAGTTGAAAAATCTGAACTTTGGCGTGAATTCGCGCCGCGTTAACCAATCAGGAGCCTAGCTACTTGCTCACGTGGTGAAGTGTCTGGATGCTTCAGTAAATTATTTTGTAATATGACTAAATGCATGGTGGGATTATGCACAACAAAGCAAATATTTTATCACTTAAAACATTATTTCTATATACGAGACGTTCATTTTGTATTGAATGTTATTCATTCCATATCTAGATCATATGAAATAGTATTATGATGTAAAGACAATCAACATACGGTATGTGCTGTTCGTGTCTGGAGAGTTCGTGTCTGGACGTGAGAGAGAAAAAATCACAGGACAGGTTAATAACTTTTGGAAGCTGGCTCTATTTATCATCAAAACAAAAATAAATGACAGCTAGATTAGGTGGATGAGGGCGAGGGTGATCCTCACTCCGATGCGGGACAACAGGTCATCAAACTGGGCGCGGGACAGGCGGAAGTACCGCTGACAGCGGCTGTCATCCAGGCGCAGCTCCTGGAGCGAGCAAATGGTGAAACTAGCTAAACGGTTCGCCTCCGAAGGGTCCGGTGGACACAAATACGGCGACGATGATTCTAGCTCTCCAGAGCAAATACAGTGCGGTGAATCTCGATGAATGCTCGATCAACAAACAAAGATGGCCGTCAACGGGTTTCGGTTTAATTTCGCTTCAAACTTTTTATTTTACCCGCGGCTTTTTCGCTCTTGACGCGTGAATTAACACAAAGTGGTCAACCGTCAAACTAGACGCAGTAGACGCGAATTTGACGCGCTATTCGTGTCTGGTGTGAATGTAGCATTACAGTCCCAATACACAAGTTTGCATTTTGGCAAGAGTGGTTAAAAATCCCAGATATGTTCTTGACATGCCCGTTTTACCGAGGATGGATCGGTTGGTAACTTGTGTGAACTTGACGGCAGAAATATCCCAGCATTCATTTCGGCATTCGAAGTAGGAGAGGCAGGTCAATATAGTAATTCGGTTTTCTACTATTACATAGACTATTTCATCACTAAATTTACCTCTGAAA